ATGTGAACTATTAAAATTACATTATGTCTTTGAATGCACTTTAACAGAGGAAACTGTGTCATGTGAACGATGAAAAAACATTTATATCTAGACAATACTACTTTTATTTTCTGCATGCATGGAATGTAAGAAAGAAGAAACAATGTATTACTAGGGTTAATTCCCTTTAAACCACTTACAGTACAGAATCACACATGCTAGTACTTACTGAAGCCTCTGTGGATTAAAGGGGTTGTATCATCATGTTCCTTGTGGCAATAATAACAGCTATGATGATTATGGCAACTTCCTTCAAGCTGAAATCATGAGAGAAAGGTCATGCTTGGCGCAGTTTCAAGAGAGGCATTTTCTCCTTTTGCCTACTCTCCCACCCCTCCATTCTCCCCGATCTTTTCTCCAAAGATTCCGAGATGCTTATTTCCATTTAATGGCCTTTGTAGAGTAAGAGCTGAAACACTGCCTTCACCTCTTCTCCCTCGTGCGGTAGTGTCGCTGGGCTGGGTGAGTGTGGACTCCTTGTGGACTTTTCAAGAAGAAAGGGCCCTCTCCCGCTCCTCTCTGTCCTCGGAAAGGAACAGGACTCACAGAGAGTTTATCGCCTCCGATTTGCAGGCTGAACTTGCAGCTTTCTAGTGATGAGGGAACGTTCCTTGATTTATACTGTTTCGGTTGGGTGCGGTACAGAAACCTTTTATTTAGGACTTAATGAAGAATTAACATTCTCGCCTTGTTGTTGAACGAGTTTATTTGCAAACTTGAGGTGATTGCTGGAGCAGAGCATGGTGTTGGTCTAATCTCTCACATCCACTGGTTGGCATGATTCTACCCAGAAATAAGCACTCACTCCATTCATTCGTCTTGCTTCCCTGTGACACAGCTGCAGCTCCTTGCCCATTGACTAGTGCCTCAGTGACAGTCTAGAGAAAATCACTGGACCTACTAGACCGAGGCACAGTGAATGTACTTCTCATCGGCTTGTCTTTTTATTTCCAGATTCATGATTAAAAGGGCTCAAGGGAGGAATCGGTTTGGCATGAAAAATTTCAAGAATAGGTGGTTTCGTCTCACCAACCAGGAGTTTACCTACCACAAAAATAAAGGTAACTCAAAAGGTTTGTTTGGACTCTTAACACCTTTTACCCCAGTTTCCCTAAACCTACTGTAGGTGCCCTTCCTTCACATGTTAGCAAATAATCTTATTTGCAAAGCAGTTAAGCTTAAATCTGGAATCAAACTTTTTGACCAATATCAGCTAAAAACAGAAATTACAAACTCCTAGAGGAATGGTTAATGTATTCTTCAGGACAAGCCGTTCCTCCACAATTTTACACTCTGTACTGCCCACTCATCCAGCTAAGCTTTAGAAATCTTTAGAGATGTTAAGGTTATAGGTTTATAGCAATGGACTGTGCATCTACTACAGTATGTCCATAATATGACAGAAATTAAGATGAAAAGCAAATGTGTTTTGTTCAGCAGTTAAATGTAACACATCATCTACTGTATATGGTCCTGAAATGAATCCTTTTAAGATCTAATTTTGACTCATTACATACATGTTCAGCTAACTGCAGAGACTCAGCGCACAAAAAGTTGAAAACCTAGGACTCTACAGCATATTCAAAACACTTACTTTTCTATGGGAAGCATTGGGAGTTTAGATCCCTAAATGTTTTACATGTAGGGCCTCTGTTGTTTTGTACTTTTGAGTGATTAGGGATAATCTGGGCACAGTGTACCTACTCCACATATGTTTGTAATTAACACTGCCAGGAAATCTGCTGACTTTATTTTTCAGTGTCTGCAGCTGTTCTCTGCTTGAGAGCGAGAGGCGAAATAAAACTCGTAAGACAATGGCTGGGAATTCACCCAGGCTGGCATTCCACAAGAAACGCATTTGATCCGCATTTTCACTTGTAGGACTGAGATCTCTTCTTTTGTTTAAAAAAAATCAACGCTGTGTCATTCAGCTGAGTGTGGAAAGGGATATAAACAGGGACGTTTTTAGAAAGAGGGGGACATACGCAGGACGGAGATGTGGAATATTTGCAAAGTTTTCGGTTGTTTGTATTTGAAGAGTGGAGCTCTGTTAATTTAAAAAATAAATGGAGGATTGGTTCTCCTGAGGTCATCGGTAAGATTGAGAATAGAGAGGAAGGCCGAGGATGGAGATCTACTCCCTATAGAACCTGTGTATTTTTCCGGTAACGGAGAAATTGAACTTTTTGAACTGATAATTGAACTGATAATCAGTGTCTCATAGTGACAAACATGTCTCACATGTCTCTTAGATCCTGGTAGGTCTGTACCAGGGTGCAGCTTGAGACAGGGAAGCCGATTCTAAACTATCCCAATAATGGTTCATATTTAAATTACAATATGCAAATCATATGATATAGCGGATTCCTTCCGTTTTCGTTCATCGGTCCATCCCTTTTGTATCCATCCAATTCAGGGTTGTGGGGGGGAGACATTTAATGGGGACACCCTGCCGCTCGATCACAGGGCAGACGCAGTCACACATTCGCAAGGGCCAGTTTTCCCAGGAGCCCGTGAACCTGGCAGCAGGTCTGCAGACTGCGGGAGGAAACCCACACGAACACAGGAAGTCACACAAACTCCACGTATTGTAGGTGGCACTCTTTCACCCAGGGCCTCCACGCTATGAGACAGCAGTGCTCATCACTGCGCCACTGTGCTTCCCCCGCCTGTCTTCAGATGGTGGCTATTTCCACGCAAAAGTAAAAGAAAATGAAGCCCTCACTGAAGCAGAAGTCAGTGTCTTTCAGTAAAGTTTCCTGCTGCCACCCGTTTGACTGTAACCGGGCACTGTTGTCTGACCGTATCGCAGGGGATCATCCGCTGTGCAGCATCCCCATCGACAACATCCTGGCTGTGGAGAGGCTGGAAGAGGAGTCCTTCAAAAAGAAAAATGTAAGCTACCGTGTTTAATACAATGGCTCACCCCTCTGCCACACCTGAGCAAATCCCACTGTGAATATACCGAATCTTGTCTCAGTCCTTCCTGTATGCAGAATTCACTGCTCATTTAATAATAATAATAATAATTGCTTACACTTATATAGTGCTTTTCTGGACACTCCACTCAAAGCGCTTTACAGGTAATGGGGATCCCCTCCACCACCACCAATGTGCAGCCCCACCTGGATGATGCGACGGCAGCCATAGTGCGCCAGAACGCTCACCGCACATCAGCTATCAGTGGGGAGGAGAGCAGAGTAATGTAGCCAATTCATAGATGGGGATTATTAGGAGGCCATGATTGGTAAGGACCAATGGGAAATTTGGCCAGGACGCCGGGGTTACACCCCTACTCTTTTCGAGAAACGCCCTGGGATTTTTAATGACCACAGAGAGTCAGGACCTCGGTTTTACGTCTCATCCGAAGGATATCGCCTGTTTACACTATAGTGTTTCCGTCACTATCCTGGGGCATTAGGACCCACATGGACCTCAGGGTGAGCGCCCCCTGCTGGCCCCACTAACACCTCTTCCAGCAGCAACCTTAGTTTTTCCCAGGAGGTACTGACCAGGCTCACACCTGCTTAGCTTCAGTGGGTTGCCAGTTGTGAGTTGCAGGGTGATATGGCTGCTGGCTTGAGCAAATGCTGTCCGATGATGTACGTAAACAGAGAAATAATTCACGTCATTTCTAATTGCCGTCGCTAAATATAGCTTGGCTTACAAAACACGGCGTCTCATAATGCTTTCGGTTTTTCTTGCTGTTCTTCAGTCTCATAAGGCAGATTCCAGGTGAGGCTTAGCCAGCTGTGGAAAGGCCAGTAATTGCAGCTGATCTGCCAGCCTCTAAACTGCTTGTGGACAGTGGCAGTAGGGGGTTAACTTGTTAATCATTAGTTAATTGGTAAAGGGTGTGGGATTCCACATTTACATATGGGAGTAGTTCGGTCTTGGTTCGGTATGAAAAGGGTGTGCTTGGGCTGCTTTCTGGCTTTTACTATTTTGCTTGTCCTCCTCCTGTCTGTGCACACAGGCCCTAGACCCCAGTCTGGTGAGGGTCAGGGTCTCTCACGAAGCATTCCCAGCTTCAGGGTTTGGAGCTGAAAAGATGTTTCATATCCTGTAGAGTCCTGTGACGACAATAGAAAAGAATTAACAAAGTAGCTTTTAACATTTTATTTTTAACACCTCTCTTTGTGTTTGAAGATACGAGATTTTACAAGAGAATGGAAATCGTCTGTTTGAAATGATCTGACAGCCTCTGTATTAATGTTGTAAGACAATTGGTCATCTTGTCTTTGGCTTTGTTCTTACAGTATCTGAGAAAATCCGATGGCAGGGCATGTGTAGTGAAAAATGAGATGATGAAATTAACTTCTAAGAGGCCTAGAATTAAAGACAAATGTGACACCAAGCTGTTCTTCTGATTGTGTTTTCTCATGATTAATATAATGCTTCTTAATGTGTGGCATTTTAAGGAGTTCTCTAAAATTGTTCTTCAAAGCGCATGTGAAAAATATTTTTGTGTGGTTCAGCATAAATCTGATGTTTGGAGCGTTCATTCCTGTAACAATTTCATAAGTGATTTTCGTAAAGTTAACCACATACCAATAACATTCTGTATAACAGCCCTCATGTGGAAATAATAGAGTAACTATTTGGCAGGTTATCCTTCAATGTGATGTTCAGATATCAGCCTCCTCCTGTGCTTGGACGCAGTAGATAAGCTTGTGTTTCGTAGTAATGCTTTCCTGATGTTGAGGGCTAACAGAGGCTTGATCTCCTGTTGTTTGTGTGCTCTGGCTTTTTCATCAGCTCTTGCGCATTTTATCGGATCTTCCTGTGGGTTACAGTACGATGCCAAAGTCTGGACACATTAACACAGCTTGAGTGGATTATAGAAAGCAGGCTAACTCAGTGTACCTGAAGCTGACAGCTCTGTTCTTTCTTGAAATACTGTAACTGAACATGCCTGTGTACTTTGTACTGATTAATGATTTCATTTATTTCAAAGTCTTGGCTAATGCTTTTATTTTTAATTGCTTGTCTTAAAAAATGCCATCGATTTCTTCTTTCATCTGCCCCAATAACGGTAAAAAGATCCTAAATTTTAAAATTGCAATTAAATTCTTTAGCAGAAACACCTGATAACTGAACCATTCATTTTTCCACATTTATTTGTTTGTCATGTACGGATTTCAAAATGTGTTTTCCTATTATCATGATTTAACTTGGTATTGTTCTTGAGTTATTATAAATTGACATTATCATAACTGCATGGATAGTCAATGTTTACTGTGTGACGCTTAACATAGCTGTGCATCACACATCATCCTGTGAACGAAAACACTTTTAACTAATTCTCCATTATAGGCAAAACTCTTTTTCAGAACTCGGCAACCATCTCCTTAATCTCCTTATTACTTATCTAATGACGTACATCTGGTGGTTATGAGATCATGGAAACCACTGTAGTAAATTACTAGTAAATCAAATTACGTGCTATTTACGGGGCGGAGCGGTGGCTCTGTGGCTTAGGGTCCGGTTCAAATCCCGTGGCCGGCAGAGGAATCCTACTCCGATGGGCCCCCGAGCAAGGCCCTTCACCCCAACTGCTCCAGGGACGCCGTATAAATGGCTGACCCTGCACTCTGACCCCAAGCTTCTCTCCCCGTCTGTGTGTCTCATGGAGAGCAAGTTGGGGTATGTGAAAAGACAAATTCCCTAATGCAAGAAATTGTATATGGCCAATAAAGTGATCTTTATTTGACATTTTTGTGCAATCTTCTTGTTGTTGAAGATGTTCCAGGTAATCCAGCCAGAAAGGGCTTTGTATATACAGGCCAATAACTGTGTAGAAGCCCGGGACTGGATAGACATCCTCACCAAAGTCAGCCAGTGCAACAAGACGCGCCTGTCCATGTATCACCCCTCTGCTTACCTCAACGGGCACTGGCTGTGCTGTAAAGTGTCCTCAGAATCTGCGCAAGGCTGCACACCTTGCACTGGGTAAGCCCATCGCCGAGCAGCAGCTGCAGAGGGTAGCCTCCTCGTTCGTCAGTTAGATAGAAAAGATAGAAAGAATAGGAAATATTCTGGCTTCCCACCTTCTCTGTCTTCACCACTGGGGGTACCTGCTTGTTCATCATCTAAAAGATACAACGTCTGCCCCTTTATAATGATTCTAGTTCCACGGCTGGATGTAGAAACTGTTATTTCTGATGAGATGTTAGTTTTTTACCTGAAGTAAATGTACATTTAGTAAGAATTCATTCTCAATCAGCTTTATTTGCACGGTGTCATTACTAGGCCCCACGCTGCTTGAAGAGTAAGGATGGCCTTTTTTTCCTTGGAGCAAGCTGAGCTCTGCAGCGCCAGACTGCAGCCTGGGAAGAAGTGTGGTGGATGGTAGCAAGGTGTTCTGTTTCTGTGCGCGCGTTTCCTTCGGCATGCTAAGCTATTGTGGGTCTCTTCTGTGGCTTTGCAGAGGGTTACCGGCCAACATTGAGCTGGATGTGGACGGGGACCGAGAGACAGAGCGCATCTATTCTCTCTTCATCACTTACTTGAGTAAGGTGGAGAAAATGCAAGGTAAAGTTCCTTATTCAGGTTCATTGTGCATTCGTGTCAGTGCATGAGAATCAGAGGGTGGTAGTCGGCCCGTCATGTCCATCTGGACTCCATTAAAAGCAGGATTCACGTCCCACTGGCAATACCGGATATTTTATTTTGACTTCATTCATTTATTCTCAATAAGCTTGTGGCATTGCCCGCGGGGCATGCTCAGTATGCCCGATTCCAATGGCCAATGCATCCTGCCTCTTGAAAGCCCTCGGAATATCCCTAACATCACCTGACCCTTCCCCTCCAGCCTCCGGCGTCCGTCCCTCACGACGATATCTTCCTTGCTGGGGCACGTCATGGGCGCTTCATTCCTTTCCTTTGGTGGCTCAGGCCTCTGTCGTAGCCCCTCGGAAGAGACACCGAGAGACCAGTCTGAGGCTGTGGCTTGTGCAGGAGGCCATGGGGCTTCTGTCTCCGAAGGGCAGGCCTGAGCCCCAGCGCCAGTCCCGAGTGGGGAACAACAGTGCTCGGGACAGGCGTGCTCAGCTCTCCCCGTTCTGTGTCCCCAGAGGCGTGTGGCAGCAGGTCGGTGTACGATGGGCCGGAGCAGGAGGAGTATTCCAGCTTCGTGATCGACGACCCCCAGGAGACGTACAAAACTCTTAAGCTGATCACCAGTGCCGTGCACACACTGGAGCAGGAGCACGCGCAGTACAAGAGGGACAAGTTCAAGAAGACCAAGTACGGGAGCCAGTAAGTGTCTGTCCAGCCCTTCGTTTCTCTCTTCCCTCGTTTCGTTTAGGGCTGTGGTCTTACCCTGGTTAAGAAAAAAAACAGCGCAGTGAATCCTGACCTTTGGCATGAAATGCAAATCACAGATTTACTCGTTTCCACAACTTTCGGAACAAAGGGAATTAAGCAGAATATTGCGTATAACTTTTACACTGTATGTTTTATAGCTGAAAAAAAGTATATTGTTCCTGTTTTTTAGGGAACATCCAATCGGGGATAAAAGCTTCCAGTGTTACATCAGGCAGCAGTCGGAGTGCTCCACTTACTCCATCTGAAGAAGAGAGCGCAGGAGCTGCCTGGAACAACACTCTCTGTAAAAGGGAATATATGTAGCATAAATGTACAGCTTTTAAAGAAGGCAAGTGTGTCAAGCTAAGTTGTTTTTTGTATGATGTACTAAACTATTGTTTTTCACAAACTGTTCATTTAGTAGCTATGCACTTTAATCATCTGAGCTTCACAGATGGTGGAACTCTGCCTTTTGGCATTGTTTTTTTTAAATATTTTAATTTGTTTTTTTATCGGCAACAGTTTGTGGATCAGTTAAATGATCGCTGAAAACTGTCCTTTTAATTGCAGTTTCTTAATGTTATTTCCACTGTATCTTCCCTTTCGAGGACCAATACCCAGTTCAAAAGGGACTGTATTGTACAGAAAGCTGTCGTTTGGAAAAAAAGCATCTCTTCTACAACGGGCATCTTTTTTTAAGATCTGTTTTTGATTTTAGACTATCTGAATTTTGTACCCCCAAGACTCAGTTCTTAAACATTGCACAGTATTCTCTGAAACAATTCTAATGTGAAACACCTATTTCTCAAAACACCAGTGGTGTATTAAAGGTACAGATATTATCATATGCCATAGCTTACTTGGGTATTAAAAGAGAGCGTTATGAGACGTAATGAGTGCTGTGTGTGTGTTAGTGTTCACAAGATATAGATGACTTGGTTCTGCACAGATCAAAGTAAGCATGGCATTCAAGGGCTTTCCTTTTACAAACTAGCCTGCAGTCATGTAGTGAGTCTTGACATGAGACCTTTTTCACTCCAACACAAATATTTAACTACAGGATTCATCAATCAAAGCTACAAGGTGAAAAACCTTCCTGTTTTTCTACATTTCATTCAGATATCTTTGATGAATACAACAGCAGGGAGTTTGGAACAAAACAATTTGTTTTAGAAATGTGTAAGGAAACAAATCCAGTGTTTCTAAAATAAAAGTTGAGGACACCAGAAGCATGACTTTGTATGACTGCCATTATACTTGAGTTGTAGGTTTTAACAATGTTTCATTTTTGAGTCTTTCTTTGCTTCAAATTTTAAACATGTTTATATAGATGACATGATGTCATGGCGGTATTTTCATACCTGTTTCTCATGATGTAAAGTCAGATCAGTGTTAATCGTGGCATGTTAGAACAGGATTGTGGCATACTGCTACTGTTTGTCTTCTTAATATTCCAGAAAAGAACCTGGGCAGTTACGGAAATCGGAAGGTCTCACAAGGTTTCACACACAGTACAGCAGTCGGTCTCCCTAAAGCAGTGTGTTGTATCACAGTAAAGCAGAATGGTTAGGAAGAGCATAAGGTGACTTTTAACAAATCTTGGTTTACTTTGAGAAAGAGAAAATGCTTTGTTCGGGATCTGTTTTCCTTTTGAGGATTGTAAAATAAGCCATGTGCTATGTGTTATAATTCAGTTTCTTTTTTGGCTTACAATTTGCTATTTTTTTCCAGAGTTGGTTCAAAAAGCAGCACTTTGCTGCTACTGTTGAATTTGCGCATTCCTTTTTACTAGCATCTCTAAGCCTTTAAGGTAACTGTGATGCTACAGTCCTGTAGTTACTTAAGACTGCAGTTAATTTTGGGGTTTATTAGATTTATTTATCCATTTACAAGGATGTGGCTATGTTTGAGTACTTTACTAACCACTTGTTATAAAGCAGTTAAGAATGGCTTTATTTCCCCAAAAGGAAGACAACTCCTGGCTTCTTGTGTTGTATTTTATACAATATAAAAGTATTAAAAGAATTCTGATTTTGTACAGAAATAATATTGTGGAAAAAATGTGTTATTTTCAATGCAAATGAAGGCAATTATATTAACAGTATGTGTGGTCTCTGTTTTATTGCACTGTCCTTTGCATTACAGTATAGTATGTTAACAGTTCTGTTGTGTTTGATAACATAAAGGGAAAGATTTATACTTTGAAGTCCAGTTCTCTTTAGTTAGTGAGATTAAATTATGACTGGGTTATACAAGTACCCTCTTGCTGTATCTGGGAGATAAGAAAACGAATCTTACAGACCTCGCGTTTGTGTCTAAAATAGGAAACAAGTTGTTTAATTAAAATTAAGCTACTTGTAATCTGGAGAATCAAAACCATAATCTTCATCTTCCTTGTATTACTTCCCTCACATTCAATTAATTTAACTTAGGGAATTTGCAGATCGTAATGTTAGTGCTGGAATGCTGAAATATAAAAGGTACAGGCGAGCCAGGTGTGTGCTGAAGTGTTGATTGACCCAAACCTCAATCCTCTCAGTCATCACTTCACCTCTTGTTCCAAAGCCCTCACCCTCACCTCCTGTCCTTATAGTCAAACTCAGTTATTTCTGTTAGTGCTTATTCCAGTATTGTTCCAGGCTTTAATGCATGAACACAAGTTCTGCAGGATTGATTAAAAACTGGGGCACCCATTAGCAATCTTAAACCAGAATAAAAAATGTAAGTTTTGGTGATGAATTGAGCTCAATTTTACCATTCATGCCACCACACTGATTTACCAAAGCACATATTGCCTAAACATTGCATGGTTCACATTTCAAGAAGGAGACTGGCCTTGTGATTAAAGGTCTTCCCAAGCTTGGGGGGTGGAGACATTGAGTATCCAAAACACATTAGTTCCCAACAGATCGCTAAGATCAGGCTGAATTCAGGTGGGGCTGCTTATTTACCCTTTGGCCGTTAGTCCAATGAGGGCTTTTAACCATTGCTACAGATTCATTGTTTGTACTCGGCATCTTTGAAAGTAGCCAGCCTTTTTGAAAGAAGATCTGGCTCTGGACTGAAATGCATCTGAACAATGTTTTAATGAGAATAGCTTACCTCAGTCATTCTGCACCACAGAGAGCCCCACTGGGTGTGCTGGATGTGCTGTTCTGTTCTCTTGCTCTCACAATTCGTTGAACTAATGGGAAAAAAAAACTTAAATTCTGTAATTACCAGTCTACTGATTTAAAGATGCCAAGAAATGTCTGCAGCTCTCAGACCCCTGAGGTTTGTGGTTTGACACCTCCAGTCGCATTCATCAGCCTCTCTCTCTGTGTACAGACCAGCAATTCTGGAATTGGCACAGCTGTGAACTAACATACTGTATCTTCAGGAGAGGATGCATAACCCTTAACACATTGTGGTTCAACCCTAAGGAGAAACAGTCTGCCTAGATCGCCATACTCTATAATTAATTTAGAATCGTTCCTGTTTTTCCTTTGATGGTATCTGTGTGCTTTAATGTGTAAAGATCTCTTAGCTGTGGGCAATTCCAAATTTATTGTCTTTAAGTGAGGGCCTCAAATGTATTATGTGGCTATGAATCAAAATGTGAAAAAAATATTAATCTGTGGGACTAGGCAACCACCCTGCAATTTAAATATTCTCCCAGGCTGGATTTTATATGGAGTATACAGTATACATGTTTGTAGGCCCGTCAAATTTCTGAAGTGTTGACTTGTTTACTATACAGAGGAGTAGAAATTCACATTCACATGCTCAAATAATGCTTTGGTCATATACAAGAGTATTTGCTTGCGTGACAACTTCGTGTGTGAATTCTAACCCCACTTACAAGTATGTTACTTGTAAGTTACAGAAGATGACCTATCTGATGACAATGTCCTAAAAGATGACAGTAGTCCAAAATTCTTGGATTAGAGGTATGCTATATTTTTATAACCATAACATCAACATTAATCACGTCGATAGACTGTTTATGGACAGTTACACGAAGACATGAAATTAAATGTTACTATCATATTCATCTACATTTTCAGGAAACACTTGGGATATACCATTCCAGGAATACCAGCAAAAACAAACCAAAAATGAAAGAGTACAGACAAATTATTTCCAGTGTTAATTCCAAAACAGCAGTACTCCTCTTTAAACAGTGAAATGCCACAGTAAATATTACTCTCACTATAACCCCAGGATGACTTTTGCAGGCAAATGAAAAACAAAAAGGACCACAAACAATATCACATAATTATCATTTTACTTTCTTTTCCAACACCGTCTCATTTCTCTGAATGTTATATTTAAGCATCCTGTAGCATTATTGTAAACACACGGGTTAATTTTACAACAGTGTTGTCCTTCAGGATACAAACTGTATGGTCTAAATGAGAGTGGCCTGAACCCGCAGCGATAAGACAGAAGCAACATCTGTTCCATCACAGTACTGTAGATGACTGAAAAGCAAGTCAGGCCCAGCGGATGAACTTCAGAGCCATGTTAAATGGAAATGATCTGAATAAAGGAATCTGTCCTTTCCACCAGTGACCGTGTTCCTGTCTTGATAAATTTAGATGGTGATGATTTGGAGATTAAGAGGGAAAATGAGAGAATTCCTACACATTACAGTTCTACCTTGGATTCAGTGTTTTACAAACAGCACTGCCATCTGCTGTTGTGGAAGTGGTTTATTATTACTAGTTGCTATCTTAAATCAGTGACATAACGGGCAGTCTTACAAAACAGCCATTGTTAGAGGTTAAAAATATCTGCAGCTCTAGGAGACAGGAGGGAGTCATGATGAGGAATCTGAAACATCAGTCGCAGTCAAGCTCTAGACTGGAAGGCCTGCTTGAAACCGAGACACTGTGGGTTAGGAAAGTAATGTTGGTGTCTACACAATAAAATACTATCCACAAGACACTCTGCACTCTGTAACTGATGCTGAACTGTAAGATAACTGTGTAACTAAGCTAAACTGCAAGTAACTGTGATCCTTCTCTTAACCAGGTAACGCATCCGAAAGTTATAGGCTCTGCCTGTAACTCTCCCTTCAAAGACAAAAACACTACCCTATGTTTGCATGTTTGCATATAAGCATATAAGCGAAGTGTCGAACCGCACTGTATTTTTAACACGACCCATAGAAGCTGCGCTTCATTCTCAGTATCACGAACCTGTCTCTGGGAACTCAAAGGTCCAGGAAGCCCAGGTGCATCCGTATATTGCCATTGCTGTGTTACATAATACACCCCGATTATCGCAAAAGCCGTTACATACTGTACCACCTAAGCGCTTATCACTAAATCACATTTCGTTTCATAAAGCTGCAACAGGGCAGTTTTTCAATCTCTGCGCGGCCCTGCTCTCCTCTCGAACTGTCCGCCGCTCAGCGCCCCCCCTGCCGAGACTCTGCTATAAAGTTCGTGGCTCTTTCCCAATCTTCTGAAAACTAGGAGGGGGAAAAAAAACACGTTTTCGGGGAGGAAAAAAAAGGCGCTGCGAACGCCAAACAACAATTTAGCGTAGAGGAGTAAGCCTGCGGCCTATTTTACCGGCACACTAAGTTGCAAATCCTATTACTCTTTGCTCTAAGATGGGGAGGGAAAAGACACAGTGGCGTGCATCTGTGGGCTGTCTTCTCTTCATGTTTGTGCTTTGCGATGCGCTGGAATGTAAGTAAATAATGAAATGTGAAAAGTTAAACGGATTAGTTTGACCACTTTTTGCTCACGTATCACGTTTTTTAAAGGGGGTTCTTGGAAGTTAATTGTGTTCACTTTAGTTCCGTAGCGGTTACTTGTAAGTATTTGGACACAATTTCTAAGATTATTCTGGCTCTGCGTTTATTCTCGGCAGTCGCTGCGAGTGGTTTAGGAATTGAAACAAGGGGGATGAAAGCATTCATCTTAATTCCCCCCGCATTATTTTCGTAGTTGGAGATTAATTCTGTGGAAAAGAAAAGTTTTTTTCTCTCCTACAAACAGGGTGGACTGTTCATTCGAAAATAAGAAACGCACGGCTAAAAAAGCCAGTAGGATTGTCTTTGCTTATGTCAATATTTTTTTGCTGTGCTGTTTAGATCACATGTAAGCATAGTGTTGATCACTGAACTGTTCTTTGTGATTTGCTCTTCCGATTAAAACCCAATTCAATGAAAAGCGACGATAATAAGCAACTTGCTTTACAGCGGATTACTATCATGTTGAGGTGGTGGTCCTCGCTGGTGTCTTAAAGGTTTTGCGAGATGTGATCCAGAGAATTTAAATAATTTCTTGTTTACTAAGAGTCGTTTCTTTCTTGCGGTTTAGTTTTGGTACATGTTGTCCTCATCTATCCCAGAGGCAGCTTTGATCTGGCCAGCAAGATTGTATCGTTAATTTAGCATTTTATAGATGGAAAGTTACTTTTGTTTTGTTTTTTTAAAGGGCATTATGTAATTATTATTTATGGAACTGTAGAGAGGACAAAAGAAAGCTGATTCTCCCCCCAGGCACCTCCTGTCCATACCCAGCACTATCGAGAATGTGATGAAACCGAATCACTTTAATGTCAATGATGAATGTAGATCATATCTGTTGGGCTGCTGTTCGGAACTTCTCAAGCGGAGTGGTACGGCTCAAGTCGTTAAATTTGCTCTGTCCTTGGGATGTGCTTGTCTTGTGAATATGTAAGGTATACGTACGATGTTTCCGCAGCACGAAGTGGAAGTATACCAGAGTACATCCCGTGCGTATGAAATGTAGTTGGCGAATAAAGTTGACCCTGGTGCTGTGGGCGTTCACTGCTCTTCTGCTTGTGCACACGTTCGGCGCCGGGCTAAAGCTCAGCTTTTTTTTTGTCTGCGCGCTGAAGTCTTGTCGCAGAGAAGGGCTTCCCAGTTCCTGACGCGAGAACGGCGGGCCAACTATATGCTTGAGGAAAGCAAGAAGGGGAATCTGGAGAGGGAGTGCATCGAGGAGGTCTGCGACAGGGAAGAGGCCAGGGAAATCTTTGAAAATGACCCTGAAACAGTAGGTGTTTGAACAGGTCGTAACTTACCTACAGCCTTGATGTTCAGTGTGTGGTGGGAGTTTTGCATTTATTTGCGTCAGTATCATTACTCATTAACATACAGTAGGTCACTCACCCTGGAGTGTGGATTACGTGAATACCCTTGCGTATTTATGCAAGGGTTAACCACCCTCAGGACGTTGGTGTGATGCAGAGGTCCAGCAGGGTATGGAAATGAACATTCATGGAGACTGTCGAACCTGGAGATTAGCTCATCCTGTGCAGAGATGATGAACTGTGAGTGCTCCAAAATTAAACGGCAGCTCAAGGCAGGTGTTGGACCTCCGTTCAAAACCACCACAGAAGTGGATACACAAACGTTTAAAAAATAAACGTGCACAGGTTATACTGTATGTCAGAAACCTTCTGTTTCACGGCCTGTGATTGTCTTTCCCTCTTCATGACAGTGCTGAACTGTTCGTCAAAACGCATCACAAAGTACAGTGACCAGTGTAATGCGTAAAAAGAAACTGTTTTATGGTAGGGCAAACGCAACACAATCCAGGCTCAGCTGATACCTGTTCTACAGTTCTAATGCCAGTTCTAAAACTTTCACATGATATCTCTTTTAACACGTGGAATCAGTGGAATATTATGATGTCGTGACAATGTGTTGTGTCAAAAAATATGCAGAGAATGTGTTCGTGCTTTATTGAATGCCTGTCAATGCCTAATTCTGTTATATTTTCTATTTTTGTCTCCAGGAGTATTTTATTCCCCGATATGTTGGTAAGTTCTGTCAACTAGGAGTTCAACTATTGCTTAATACCGATGTTTGACATTTTTGCGATAGAAATATGCCAATAATAAAGTTTCAAACTCTTCCCATCTTATTGTGCCTCTGAGTGCAAAACTCTAGTGTGTTTTTTTTTTTACTTTGTTTGGCCATCTTACACAGAGGTCCCTTATCCCTGCTCCAAGCCCAATTCAACTGACCTCTAGGCCACCCCATGCACCATTTCTGCCTCAGTGACAGAGCTGTGATTGGTGGATAGTTTCGGAGAGCACACTAAATAACCTGCAGCCTTCAACCTGCATAACTCTGGAGGTGTACTGAAGTCACCCAGTAGGTCTGATACTGGCTTGTACATGTTAAAGGGGACAGAAAGCTCACTGGCTATGCACAAAAGTAAGGGAGAGATTACAACAGTATACTAATATGCTACGTGTACTATCAGAAGTAGCAGCACCTAATTACAGACCTACTGTGTAGACAAGTATAGTACAGTTTGCTGTAACTAACTGAGCCCAGGAATCCCAGCAGCACCAGTGTTAATTGGACCTGCACTGAGTACACTATCTGCAGAGGTGCTGTAACGCTAGTGTGTCGTCTCCTGCCTGTAAGGTGACAGCCTTCTGCCTTACCTGAACCTTCATCAGGGTGTCTTCAGTCCCTCATCTGATGCTGTAGGTTTTGGGAGACTTGTGAGGTGGAACACCGAAATGCTCAACAGTGTGTATTTCGGAGGGAAAGCTTGTGTATTTTATGTTTTCATCGGTATGATGCTGATGCGAGGGTCTGAGGCGAACTGATGGATGGCTATTCCAAAACTGGGCGGCTGTTAAAAAAAAAAAAAATTCAGAATTTCCAGAACAGCAGTAAAGATCCAGTCGCTGTCTCCCAGACTCCAAGCCCCTGAAGCAGCGTGAGCTGGGGAGATTCCGTAGGCAGATACTGATGAGCAGCGGGTGGTTGAAACTCATCGGGATTGTGCCTGCTCATTTTGCAGGCTGCCTGGGCTTGTACCGTGTAGGAGTCCCCAGCAGTCACCCTGGCAGCGTGGAGGCGCCGTCTGACCTCCGAATGTGCGTGACAGGTAGGCCTCTGGGGCACTTCCAGTGTTACGGAAACACAGGAGAATCGCCTTGAAGTAGCGAATGCTTGTAGCTTCCTACGGCTGTAGGTGTGTGTGTGTGATACAAATCTATCGCCTTGATCTGTATTGTTAGCACTTAGAGTCTGGTTTTCTTTGTAACAGAAAAGCTTGTTTGATTCTTGCTACAGGTGGAGTTTTGTTAGACATTTGTGCAGATTTGCTCGGCAGAGCAGCTGCGCTGTTGCTCTTGCTGGCACTGATGTGCTGTTACTTCCTCGCAGAGATCAGTGACCAGTGCAGCCCCTTGCCCTGTAACAAGGAGGGCTATGACAAGTGCGTTGATGGAAAGGCCTCCTACCATTGTGTCTGCAAGCCGGGGTGGATGGGAGAGAACTGCGATGAAGGTGTTTGTATTTTGTTAATTGGAAACGTTTTCCTGTTTTACCTACCTGACACACTCACCTTAAACATGCCCACTGTTGATATCATTAACCCCGAACCAGCTGCCTGACACACACTCCTTAAACATGCCCGCTGGTGGCGTGAGTGGACATGCTTCAAGCACCTTGGACGTAAGCATTGGAGCATTCCGTTAAGGTTTTGTGCCTGTCCGTTTTGTTTCTAACCAAAATGGCTGTGTTGTATTGTGATGTATTCAGATGTCAATGAATGTGAGGACCCGGATTTCCTTGCTGGGTGCAACCAGAAATGTTTCAATTTCCCCGGCAGTTTCCGCTGCCTCTGTGATGATGGCTACATCCTGTTACCTGACAAGATCACTTGCAAGGGTAAGTGGCAGGCTTGTTAATGATACTCATTAATTCAATACATTTCTACTAATTTGAGATTTTTATATGGCAGTGCATTTGAAGTCCAGGAGCGTGAATATAGTTACCACACCTCACAGTTAGGACTAAACTATCGTATTTAATGAAATTGCTATGTTTACTTTTTTCAGAACTTAAATTTATAATCAAACTTTTTTTTTTTGGAGAAGCCAGTTTCAAAACTACGTGACTAATGGAATTTGAAGGATTTCGCTTTTTGGCAGAGCGCAGTTGGAGCCTCTTGCTCGCAGAGTTGCACAATAGCTCCCTCTTGTGGCCTGTGTCCCATACAGTCCGTGTGGATTCCACGTGAGGCTGCCCTGCCTGTGATCACCTTCTTTCTTTAGTGGACTGTACCATCTTAGCAGTTTTTGCCTCATTTTTTTTTTGCAATAGAGAAAGTAAAAAGATGTTCTTAGTATGTCCACAAGTATGGTTCTCTTACTGTGCAGAATAAAGATAAAGAATCTGGAGTGTTGGCGGATGGGCTTTGAGAGGTATTCCTTTTCAACATGTGTGTTCTAACGTATATTTACTTATCTGCTTGTTGAGACCTTTTCTGGGGGAAGACAATCACAAGAATCACTCACCTAGGAGCATGCATTTGTTATACAGCTGAACTTTTGAGAGCACAATGGTCATAAAGTTTTATGGGGACTTTGATTGCTAGCAAACCACTTCAGTGAGCTTTCTTCTCCTCCCAGATATTAACGAGTGCATACTGTACCCCAGTATCTGTGGGCCAGCCCAGTGTGTGAACGTACCAGGAATATACGAGTGCAAATGTCCTGAAGGATTCAAGTACAACTACTCGTCAAAATCCTGCATTGGTGAGATTCTAGCCCTCGGGGTAATACTGTAGAGATGGGATTGGTGATGTGAGTGGGGGGGGGGATTCTTTTGTTTGTATCCGAAGTGTAGTGTTCTACAGATTTAAAAAATAAAACATCAGAACGCCTCATAAACATCACAAACTCCAGTCCTGTAGCTCATATAAAAGCTTTGTTGACTCTTTGCTAATGAGGTTCAGGTGGACAACTGCGTCAGTATGTGTAGGCTGCCAAGGAACAGGTAACGGGTTTATTCCGTGCTGAAAAGAGAAGAAAGAAACGCAACGTTTTGGCTGTGGAGCCTTCTTCGGGTTTAAGAGAAGAACACCCTCTTACGCCCCAAGAAGGCTCCACAGCCGAAATGTTGTGTTCTCTCTTCTCTTTTCAGCATGGAATAAACCTAATACTTGTGTCTTTGCTAATGGGTTTGTCATTTTCTTTTTGCTGAAGCCGTGAGCAAAGCAAATTGTAGCCTTGATAGAACATGGGATGCAAGACCATCTGTGAATATTTTATTTTAATATTTTAAACAATCAATTGTCCAGTAAAATATTACCGCGGGACTGTTAAACTGGCATTCTAGCTAATGATTCAGTAATGTCATAGCATACTGTGCATAATGTCTTTACTCAGAAGAGTATGATGCCTGCTTTATCTAGTGGTCTGCTCCTAGATGACACAGGCAGTACTTTATGTAAAATGTAATGAAAAAATTGTAAATCATACAGATATAAATATAAAGCAAGAACAAGTTATGGATCTGACTCCCATTTAAAGGGGAACTGCAGTCCCAATTTCTCAGGCCACACAAATTTCTCACATTTTCTCACATTAAATGGACATTTTGTCTATTTTATGATATAAAACCTCCAATTTACAAGTTACTGTGTACATGTGACTTTTATTGCACTCATCAATGCTGTTTCATTCTAACCCCGAATACAAAAATAGAGTTGCAGTTATGCTTTAAGGAGACTTAAAATTCTAGGGTAGAGATTGCTGAAATTACAACTACTACTGTGTCTGAATGAACAGCAGAGGTCAGTGTTGGTTAGAATCCCAACAGATGTAGATGTTTCTGGGTTGATGTACTTGTCATCTGACAGAAGGCTGTGAAGGACAGGACCCAGCAAACCAGGTTTGTTGCACATAGAAAGGCAAGTCACTGCTTGTCTCAGATTCACACAGTCTAGTCAGAAGTAGTCTATGCATAAAAACTGCAATAATCCCGTCCATCCATTTTCTAACCTCTTCTTCCTTGGGAGAGGAGTCTTGGGAGAGCCAGAGCCTATTTACAGGCACAAAGCAGAGTACACCCTGGAAGGGACGTCAGTCCATCGCAGGACAGACGGACTCGCACACTCACACCAGGGCCACTTTTCCCAGACGTCAGTTAACCTACCAGCATGTCTTTGGTCTTTGGAAACCCACGTGAACAGGGGGACAACACACAAGCTCCAAGCAGACAGCACCACGGGTCCACAATTATACCCAGGGCCCCTGCTCCAAGAGGGATCAATGCTACCCCCCAAAACCTGCAGAGATCCAAACGGTCCAAATGGCAACATTTCTGAACAAAACCTGTAGTTCTGCACGACACTGTGGATGTGTTACCTTTGCTTTGATGTTAAGAGAGTGCCAGTGGATACACATTAGGGCAGAGCGTGGCTCTGTGGCTAAGGATCTGCACCTGTGACTGGAAGGTTGCCGGTTCAAATCCCATGGCCGGCAGAGGAATCCTACTCCATTGGGCCCCCGAGCAAGGCCCTTAACCCCAACTGCTCCAGGGGTGCCGTACAATGGCAGACCCTGCGCTCTGACCCCAAGCTTCTCTCCCTGTCTGTGTCTCCATGGAGAAAAGCTGGGGTATGCGAAAAGACAAATTCCTAATGCAAGAAATTGTATAGGGCTAATAAAGAAACATTATTATTATACATAACCCACAAGCTTGCTTTTCTGCACTTGTGCCATTGATTGACATGTTTGTTTGATCACTTTAGTTCGATTCTTAGTTAGCACTTTTTCATGCCTATGGTCATATTGTGTGCGTCTCTTTTCAGATATAGATGAGTGCACAGAGCACGTGTGTGAAGGGCTCTGTGTGAACACTGTGGGAAGTTTCTCCTGTTACTGTGATGGGCGAGCAGGGCTGGTTCTGTCTGCCGACAAGAAGTCCTGTAAGGTACTGCAGACAGTGAAGTTGTGCTGGGGAGAAGGTCCGAGTGATCACAGGATCTGCATCAAATCCTTAAACTTAGGATCGTGTATTGTTTTTTCGCTGTCAGTCAGCATTCACTGCTTAATGCTGCTGAGGTTATAAAACCTTGACACCCTGATAAATCTGTTCTCTTTCACTGCATTCAGCCATCCAGGGGGAAAAAAAACCGACCTGTCTTTCTACATTTTTCTCTGTTTATTGAAAAGCTGTAAATCTAAGCGTTCAAGATGTTTAATGGGGAGCTTTGAATTTCATGTTGAAAAAAGTGTTCACAGTAGTCACTCTGTTTCTTTTCACTAGAAAATAACCAGGTGTTTTAATCTGAATGACTACAAGAGCGCAGAGATGCTGTATCTAGGGGAGCAGTTTGTGGGCTCACCTGTACTTTATCTGCGTTTCAGACTGCCTGAAAACACAAAGTAAGTAGTTTGGGGGTTGCTAAAATCATTTCATGCTCATAAAGGACATTTTGACTGTTTCTCCCTAGTGCTTTAGCTGTGTCAATGCATGCCAGTGGCTTTTTCACATTCCTCTCTGAACCCTTTCACTCAGAAGGAAACACAGCACATGCAGATTTTTAGTTGACCTGTCCCAGCATTCTTTGCTTTTTACACTAGATAATCACATGAAACTTCACAGGTGTGTTTCCTGCTCTTTCCTTTCTACTTCTCAGATCAGTAACAGACTATGGTGCTGTTTATCAATCAATCAGTCAATCAATCAATCAA